CATATCTTAAATCACTGTAAATGTAAAGTATGCATTATATATTATGTATTTCTGCTTATACAAAATTTAGTTATAACTTTAGTTATTTTCTTTTAAGGCATGCTTAAATGAGATTTGTATGCAACATTTTACTCATTACGTGAAATTTTTGAACCTTTCTTCCTAGAATGTGAAATTGCATGCTAAACTACAGAAGCTGCTTTTTAATTCCAGCCTCATTTCATACTCATGGTAGATTTTAAAGAATTCTCCTATTTCTTTGAAGTTGCAGGTATTGCTCTGTACCTCATGTGAGTTTGAAATAGATTTTCAATTTTAATTCCTTGTGTAAGGGGAAAAAGGTATACGATTGGAAATTTCTTTTTACTGCAAAAGGTATTCAACAAGAGGAAGGTGTGATGACCCGATAGGTCATCTTTAATTTTAACCTTCATTTCTGTGTTTCGAGATCTCGAATAGCTCCATTCAGCTTTCCTCAATTTGCGTACGTAGTTCGTATCTTTTTCCGGAAGGTTTTTATAAGAAAATTGATGAAAATATGAAATCATGCCTTAAAAACTCATTTGAGTTGAGTTCGGTCAATGTTTTGTGTAAATGGATCCGAATCAATATTTTGACGGTCCCTATGGGTCCGTGTCATGATTTGGAACTTTAGCATATGCCCGAAATTAAATTCGGAAGTCCCTAGCTTGATTTAACGCCATTTGTCGAAAACTAGAAATTTAAAGGTTTAAAGAATTCCTAAATTTGGCCATAATTGTATTTTATTAATACCGGGTCCCGATTTGGATTTCGAGAGTTCGAGCAGCTTCGTAACAATATTTATGACTTGTGTACAAAATTTGAAGTTATCCTGAGGTGCGTAGGTACGTTTTCCATTAGTTTTTGAAAAATTAAAAGTTTTGATTTTATAAAGCTTGAATTTCTAAAGTTTGACCCGAGTTTGACTTTGTGGTTAACGGGCCCAGAATTTAGTTTTGAAAGTTTGTACAAGTCCATTTCTCTATTTGAAACTTGTCTGCAAAATTTGGCGCGATTCGGAGTTGATTTGATAGGATTCAGACACTTGATTGAAAATTTTGAAGTTCTTGAAATTTCTTTGAAAATCCATGCGTTTTGACATTCAATTCTAAATTCTAGGTGTTATTTTGGTGTTTTGATCACGTGAGCGAGTTCGTATCATATTTTAGGACTTATATGTATGTTTGGTTGAGGTCCCGAGAGGTTCGGGCGAGTTTTGAATAAGTTTGAGCAATTCAGCACTTTGGGCCGCATAACCTCGAATGTGCAAGCTTGTTAGTCTAGATTCGGAAGCTTATATCTTTTAATCTATAAGGAATTTAGAGATGATCTAAAAATAAAAGTTGTAGTCCTTTGAGTCTAGTATCCAGAAAGTCAAACCATTCATCATTTGGACATTTGTACATAAAGTTATAATTGATTTACTTAAAACTGGTACTGTAGTTTTCACTGCAATTTCTGCCTGGAAAACTTCTGAAGTAGGTCACTTTTAGAATGCGACCTGCACGGAAATAAGCTGAAACATGTCTCATTTTAAAGAGGCGACTTGCCTGGTCAGCTTAAAGACACATTTCAGCTTCTTTTCTTCATTTTTCTTGAAAACTAGTCCGAGAGTGGCGATGTTTCGAGGGTTCTTCAAGGAAATCGTTGGGGTAAGTGATTCTAATCCGGATTTGATTGTATTTCATGATTCTATAATTATTTTCATCGTTAAATTAGTAGAAATCAGAAAAATTGTAAAATATTTCAAAATTGTAAAATGAAGAGTGGAAGGGTGATTCGATATTGGAATTTGTTAATTTTGGTATAGTTGAACTCGTATCGGAACGAGTGTTTGAATTTTGTGAATCTTATCGGATTAAGTGGTGCGGTCCCGAAAAGTTGACTTTCATTGACTTTTTCGAAAATAATTTAAATTGAACCTCTTTCGAATTGTGAGTAGCTTCTAAAGTTTAATTTGAATTGTTGGTCAATAAATTTCTAGATTTGGCTGGTTCAGAGGCTTGTTTGAATGGAAAAGCCATGGTCGAGTGATTGTTTGAGTTGCGAAGCAAGGTAAGTGTCGTGGTTAACCTTGACTGGAGGGAATATGACTTGTTTGTGTATTTGCTACGTGATTAAATGTGTGGGTACAACGTATATGTGAGGTGACGAGTACTTATGCGTTGTAGTTGAGTTAAATCATGCGAGTGGAACTTGTTTCTTTGTGATTTATTGCCTATTTAATTACTATATCTATGCTTAGGTTAGGCTATTACTTATTTAATCATTTTTCTGTATTTATTGCTCACTTAACAATTGTTGAATATTTTGGAAGTTGAGGCCGATACCCTGGTATCATATTGCAGAGGACTTGATGGTAAATAATGATGCTAATTATGCGAATGAAGATGGTATTTTGAATGGTTTAGTGAGTGGTATTAGCGTGATTAACAATAATGATGCAGATGATTTCTTGAATGATTTAATTGATTGGTATGACATGATGAAGATGATTTCTTGAATGGTTTAATTGCACATGATGAAATAATGGTAAATAATGATTTATTAGTTGCTGAGGAGAATCACTTGGATGAAGATTTATTGGAGGTATAGGGTGAAGATGATTAAAAGAAGAACAAATGGAGTTTGCCCAAGATGTTGAGATAATCTTCGAGGAAGAGGGGGAAGGTCATGGCTTAAACGAAGAACAAAAATATGGCTAACTGGAACTAAATAACTAAGAACCATTTAGCATATACATATGTTTATTAGGTACAATAAAAGGAACACAAACTAAGCATTTAGTATATAGGTTGTTCTAAAAGTAAATTTTTCTGATTTTTCGATGGTGTGATATGTATTTGATATGGCGTTATGATATACATCATATAAAATGTTTAGTTATTGTTGATATATTAGCTATAACAAATATAGAATGTTAGATAACTAAAAAACTTAATTTAGATTGGATCAAGAAAAGAAGAATTGAAATAATTAATGGTGCAAAAGAAATTTTTTTGAACAAATCTTTGTCTCTAGCAGTTCCTTCGGTGTTTGTCAAAGATGTATAATGGACAGACATTTTAGGAACTGAACTGCCTAGATCTTTTGGGGATGTAACATAAGTACAATTATATAAAACATTGCAACTATGGGGGCCATAAGGTGCCCCAGTAACTCCCAAAGTGTAACCCCCCCCCCCCCCCC